TATACACATACAAACACCCACATACATAAATACATACACACACAGACACAAATAGATGTATACACACAAAACACAAACACACACACACACCCACAAACAAAATACGCACGCACATATATATACATTATACATTATTCAACTTAATATATTTGCCCGCATTTTTGGTTGAAATGCCACATTGGATTGTTTTTCCAACTGACCTATGCAATAAATCGCGCGCTTTCAACAACTAATAGGAATCCTTGACGGTTGATCGAAGAAGTCCTATTTTTGGAGCAATACATTTGCCCACATTTTTTTTTTTAACCAAATTGAATTGTTTTTTTCAACTGACCTATTCAATAAATCGCGCGCTTTCAACAACCAATGGGAAGACTTGAGTTACAATAATAGAGTTGTTGATCCAAGAAGTCCTACTTTGAATATCTAACTCTGTCAACTCTGTGTCACTCATGTTCCTGGTCGTAAAGTAAACCGTGAACATGGCTCCAAGAACTTCCGGAAAAGCTGCTAAAAAGGCCGGTAAGGCAAAAGCCGCCAGAAGTGGCGACAAGAAGAGAAAGCGTAAGCGAGAGGAAAGCTACAGCATCTACATCTATAAGGTGTTGAAGCAAGTTCACTCAGACACTGGTACAGAATGTCCAGCAGTATGGGGTGATATACGCAGCAAAAGTCCATGTTAAAATCAAAATGTAATTGCAAAATTCAATATCTAAATAATGAAAACGTAGGCGTAAATTTCTCAAAATGTAGATCTAGTTTCCCAAAATGTTTTTCAAATTTTCCAAAATGTAGTTCTAATTTCATTAAAATATAATTCAAATTCAAAACGTAGGTCTGACTTGATCAAACGCCTTCTCCAAATTCTGTTCCAAAACGTACATCAAAACCAGCCAAGCATGACTAGTTTAATACATTTTTACAACAACACAAGACATGCGAAATGTATATCAAATCTAGTCAGCCAAGCGTGACGTGGGCCTGTTCCATTAATGATGGGGGAATCATTTTTCTCTGCAGTCCAATGCCGTAAACAACGCTTCCAGTGCGTCTGCTAATTTTTAATGGTCAGGTTACCCGCGATCACGAGCCCTATGGTAGGCATTATGCTGCCAGCTCGAAGTTGTGAAATTTCAAGGCGATGAAATTAGTGAGATCAACTGTAGAAGTATTCGAGGTTGTTGGTGAAACACCCATAAAATACAACATTGAGCTGATGGACAACGCTGTACCATCCATAAAGCCAGCACGTCGAAAGCCAGAAACCTAGAAAGCTCCACTGCGACAAGAGCTAGATCGACTTATACGCTTAGGAATAATACCAGAGGCTCGAAAACCCACCGACTGGGTAAAATAATATTGTAATGGAACACTCCGTCTCTGCCTCGACCCACGAAACCTTAACAAATATGTAAAGAGACCGCACTACTATGCAAAAACATTATTTTACCTGAGTTAAGAAATACAGAGCTTTTTTCTACCCTTGACCTGGGAAGTGGTTATTGGAAAATTCCACTAAAAGAATATTCCCAAACTGCTCACAACATTTGGTAATGTACAACCTACGAGAGATTCTGCTTTACAAGGCTGTCATTCGGTCTAATATCAGCCCAGGACGTCTTTCAGATAGACTTAGATGGAATCTTTGGGAACATAAGGAACGTATTTTGCATCAAAGACGACATAATTATCGCTGCTGAAACAAGAGACATTGCTATACAAGACGTCATAAAGAAGTGTAAAAAATACAATATGAAGCTCAACCCACTGACAAGTGTCAGTTTAACCAGGAAAAAGTCAAGTTTTTTGGAAACATTCTAAGCAAAGAAGGCGTATCCCCCAGATCCAGCAAAATCTGACAGGAACTCCAGTCTCTTCTAGGACTGATCCAGTATCTGCCCGCTGACTGAGCCTTTAAGGAAGCTTCTTCAAAATGGTACAATATTTCAATGGACAGCAGTCATGACGAAACGTTATGCAAAATAAAGCAGACGATCACCCTTACCCCTGTTCCAGCATATTTTGATGCTAAGAAGGACATAATCATACAGCGTGATGCATCTATGAAAGGCGGTACTACTGCAGGACGGAAGGCCTGTATACTTTGCCACCAAAGCTCTAACTCCTACCTCAACCAACTATAGCAACATTGAAAGGGAAGCCCTGGCAGCAGCACAAAACTGAGCAATTATATCCAAAAAAAGATGGCCAGTGAAAAAAATCTTTCCGACGAGGTGACACATGCTTATTGGCAATACAGTAATGAGTTTGCCATACACAATGGTATTATCCTGGAAGGTTCAATGGTCATTATACGTAAACAATTGAGAAGCCTGTCTCATTGGCTTCAGTGACCATAATAACATATAGTTAGACACCAGATTTGCCCTTTTTCATTGGATATAAGTGAAGTTATGAGTCAATATCATAATTTTGGCGGCCATTTTGGAAATGGCCGCCAAAAAAATATGTTCCGCCCTTTTTCTGGAGGTTCTCCCTCGCTCAAATTCTTATTTATATCCTAGTGATGCTAAATCAGCAGTGAAACCTTGGTCCCAGAACAATGGTCACGGGGCCCCTGATTTTCACTATACTATGGTGCCAATTTTTATAGAATCTATCAGCAGATTTCCTGGAAACTCAGTGAAACTATCAATACCTAGGCACAAAATGTAGTCTAGAGCTAATATATTTCATTTGCCCACAATGAAACTTTAGGGGCATCATGTGGGCTAAGTGTCCTAACTGAGGTGTGAATTTTCCAAAAATCGAGATATATACTTTTGTGATATTTTGGGTCAGAGGTCAAGGTCACGTGACTTGACCTATATAATTCTCACTAGTCCGGACATCATTGAGTTGCATATCATTGGAAAGAGAATCTCTATCCAACGGTAACAGAATTTTCACCAATACGTTGAGTTTCAAGAGAGATATCAGTAGTTGTCTGTCAGAAGGTAAGTTTTTTTAGCTAAATCTTATGAAAATTTCAAATTGCTTTAACTCATCAGAAAATGCTGGCGCGGAGCCAAAATTTTCACTGTGGGGTTATCTCAGGTAGAACCCCCAACATGCAAAATATTGGGCGATTTGAAGGGGATCGGGCAAAAAAGTGTGTGGGATTCATATGGAATGACTCGGTAGCATTTTTTTGCTAGCAATGTTGTTCTATACAATGTGTAAGTTATTAATATATTATCAGCTATAGGCCCAAACATATATTTTCGTTTTCTCATTCATTACAGATATAGATTTAGTAGCAAGAACCGCAGTTACTCTTGCTGCTGTTGCCGTTACGCCATCTTCTGGGTTTTACTAGAGCTGTAATTACAGCTGGATTCATTCTAGCAAAATGGAGAAGAAGAAGGAGAAGAAGGACAAGGAGGAGGAAGAGGAGGAGAAAAAAGAACAAGAACAGAACACAGAACAAGAAGAAAAGGAAAAGGAAGAGAAGAATACTCATAAAAAATATGCGGTGGGTAATCTTTGCATTACTACGTGCCAACACCCCTAAAGGGGATAATTTCACGTGTTTGATTAGTGTTCCCTAATGCGGGTATCCATATGCAGGGGACGTCACCCTATGAATGAGACTCTTTTTTGGTCCCAAAGGTGTCCTCTAGATGTTCTACTGTATCTTCATGTTGTACTTTATAGACCAAATTAAAGACTCATTCGAGCAGGTTATAATTCACTTAGCTAGCATCAAAATATTGAAACATCATCTGGGCCTATATCACAATAGCATTAAATTTGAAAATATTGATTTCAAAAATTTGGCCTATTCTGTTGAGTCTGTTTAATCGATTCAATAATATCAATTGTTTAATTTTGCCCTAATTATTGCAGATAGGCCTAATAATAGGAGCGTTGACAGGAGCGTTGACTGGTGTTGCGGCTGTTAGTGTTGTTCCATATCTATTAGGTTTTACTGCAGCTGGAATTGCAGCTGGATCCATTGGAGCACAACTCATGTCGGCTGCTGCCATAGCTAACGGAGGAGGAGTTGCAGCTGGAAGTGTTGTTGCCATACTGCAATCTGTAGGGGCTGTTGGACTAAGTGCGCAAGGCATAGCTCTTGCTGCTGCTGCTACAGGGGCTGCAGGGGCTGCAGGTGCTGTAGGTGTTGCAGGTGCTCTAGGAGCTAGTGGAGGCAATAAAGGAGGAGGAAAAGGAGATAAAAAAGAAGAAAAAAAAGGAGTGGAAGCAGATGACGCGGAAGAAGATGCAGAAAAAAGTGCCGCAGCTGTAGGTGGAGGAAACATTGTCTTGCAAGGAGAAGGAAAAGGAGAAGAAAAGGGAGAAGGAAAAGAAAAGGGAGAAGGAAAAGGAGAAGAAAAGGGAGAAGAAAAGGGAGAAGAAAAATGAGTAAAATCAGATGACTTGGAAGAATATGAAGAAAATAAAGTGGTAGTAGATAATAATAATAGTAATAACAATAACAATAATAATAATAATAATAATAATAATAATAATAATAATAATAATAATAATAATAATAATACAGTATTGATTTGTAATGTTTATTAACATGTAATGAAATGATTATGTTACTGTATGTTTAATGAAAGAAAAAAGAAAGAATGGAAATAAATACTGAATGAATGAATGAATTAAATAATTAATTAATTAATTAATTAATGAACAATGATGGTGATGAAGGTGACTGTTAATTGCGTTAAAATAGAGTAATAAAATATAATAAACGGCGCCAAGTTTAAATACAGTACTGTCATGACAAAACTACGTAGAATTAACGAAATTTTCAAATGTAAGGCCTATAAATGAAGTAACGGGACTGCGTCAAAAGGCTCCCAAGCATTCTTTAGCAGACAGTTGTAGGCCTAGTAACAAGCCGCAGCCAAAATTCTGTGACAAATCAATTTTATGCCCATATTTCGGTGTACCAGTGGCGCCGAGAGGCCGGGGCAATCGGGGAAAGTGCCGCGGGGCAGGGGCCCGGCAGGGGCCTGGGATAACTAGGTAAAACGTAATGAAATAAAATAAATAAATAAAATCATTAAACGTATACATTCATCCAGTATCATTCATGTTTTTTTCCTACGAGAATTGTAAATAATACTGACCGTTTATCGATGAAATCTCGTAATTTATCGCTTCTAATTCTTTTTCATGAATTTGTTCATGACTTCGACTACTCTAGAGTTTATGTTTACAATGTATCAAATAGAAAATGTTTACGTTATTATTTAATACTTATCAAAGGCTTGGACCCTGACATTGTCAATGTAAGTTAGAAAATACGAATAGACCTATTAGAGATACGATTGTCAAATAAATACTGAATTTTTATATTAAACCAGTGGCGAATTTAAGGGTAGCCCGGCCCCTACCCCCCAAGATATTCAAAATTTAAAAAAATTGAGAGAGAGAAAAAAAAAGAAAATTCTACACTCGAATTTAGGAGTGCCATTTCCGGCCGTCCAAAGGTGTCATAATCATAGATTTTTATTTTACAAAATACTCACAAACTCCATTGAATGTAGGTTTGCTTACCACCCGTCCGCACCCTAGCCAGGCCACTTGTAGTTTTATGCTCGTTGTTCTATACTGAGCCACATGGCATCCATGATGCCAGTTGTGTTGTTGTGCGTGATTATAGAGATAATTGCATTATGACTGTTATTCCAGGGAGATGTAAAACATCTCCCTGGTTATTCATAGGTAAAGTTTCTGCTTGCTATAGATGAATTATATAATTTCTTGTATGCAATTTTTGTCTCTGTTGTCTTCTTTTCTATTTTTTTAAAATTTATTTTACCTAAATCGAGGTAAGGCTAGGCCCTGTCTCTTATACACATCTAGATGTGTATAAGAGACAGCCTAGAAACAAGCCGCAGCCAAAATTCTGTGACAAATCAATTTTATGCCCATATTTCGGTGTACCAGTGGCGCCGAGAGGCCGGGGCAATCGGGGAAAGTGCCGCGGGGCAGGGGCCCGGCAGGGGCCTGGGATAACTAGGTAAAACGTAATGAAATAAAATAAATAAATAAAATCATTAAACGTATACATTCATCCAGTATCATTCATGTTTTTTTCCTACGAGAATTGTAAATAATACTGACCGTTTATCGATGAAATCTCGTAATTTATCGCTTCTAATTCTTTTTCATGAATTTGTTCATGACTTCGACTACTCTAGAGTTTATGTTTACAATGTATCAAATAGAAAATGTTTACGTTATTATTTAATACTTATCAAAGGCTTGGACCCTGACACTGTCAATGTAAGTTAGAAAATACGAATAGACCTATTAGAGATACGATTGTCAAATAAATACTGAATTTTTATATTAAACCAGTGGCGAATTTAAGGGTAGCCCGGCCCCTACCCCTCAAGATATTCAAAATTAAAAAAAATTGAGAGAGAGAGAAAAAAAAAAAGAAAATTCTACACTCGAATTTAGGAGTGCCATTTCCGGCCGTCCAAAGGTGTCATAATCATAGATTTTTATTTTACAAAATACTCACAAACTCCATTGAATGTAGGTTTGCTTACCACCCGTCCGCACCCTAGCCAGGCCACTTGCAGTTTTATGCTCGTTGTTCTATACTGAGCCACATGGCATCCATGATGCCAGTTGTGTTGTTGTGCGTGATTATAAAGATAATTGCATTATGACTGTTATTCCAGGGAGATGTAAAACATTTCCCTGGTTATTCATAGGTAAAGTTTCTGCTTGCTATAGATGAATTATATAATTTCTTGTATGCAATTTTTGTCTCTGTTGTCTTCTTTTCTATTTTTTTAAAATTTATTTTTTTGCTGTTTTTCCTTGCGACACTCAATTTTCGTGTTCGACGCGAGAAAAAAATTCTTCCTCCCTACCATAAAAATTGATAACATAAAGATGCACCATTTAAAAAAAATTTTACATGGCCTAATCATCGATATTAGTAATCTAATACGTTAAATCTGTAGTTTCTGGTGGCGGTGCGTCCCGGCTCCACCAGGGATGCTCCTTGATCCCGCTGGGACCTAGGCGGTTACCAGACCCCAATCAATGGGCCCAGGCAGCAAAGCATCCCCGGAGCCCACGGCCGATCTCGGCTGCCTTGCATATGACATAAATTATAGTAAGCACGACACGTCACACACAAATTTGTCACATAAAATATGATAGTTTTTCATATGGGTATACTACGAAAGCCTATTAGGGCCACTGAAATATATATTTTTATGTCGTAATTACGACTTATTATGTCGAAATTTCGACATACGTATGTCGTAATTACGACTTATGTCGAAATTTCGACATAATATGTCGAAATTACGACATACGTATGTCGAAATTTTGACTTATTATGTCGTAATTTCGACATACGTAAGTCGTAATTTACGACTTATTATGTCGAAATTTCGACATATTATGTCGAAATGCTGCGCAATCGTTTCATAAAATATCAAACATATTAAAGCCCCATTCCCGGCAAAATTTCACTAAAAACTGACTTTTTTTTAGAAAATATTCATTTGCATTACTCCAATTATTATAAATCATGGAAAAATATTGGCATGAATTTTAGTTTAACGCAAAAGAATTAAAAAAAATGAGAAATACAAACTATTTCTCATAAAATATTACCATTTTCTGGACGAATTCATCGTTACTAGGCAAATTCAGAGGTTGTAGTTCACATCCACTGGAATACTCTCGCTTTAATGTATACTTTTATACAGTCAATGAAGTGCGCCCTCTCTAATGAGATTAGTTTTTGTACTTCGTATCTCGCACAATGCGGTCGTTCGATTAAGGAGATATAATGAGATATGTTTGTTTAAGTGTCAAAATCTCAGTCAGAATCAGTTTTTTAACAAATTTGAAATAATTCCTATGAAATATTATATTTCACAAGTGTCAATACTAGCAACGGAAAATATCATGTCGGCCG